AATGTGAGAAGGATCTGGCTTATGGCTGAACTTGGCTTGATTTTATTCCACAGATAAACTAGAACATGATAGCCACATTGATGTTCTTAATTAAAAAAAAAATAAGTACTAGATTCAATAACTATTAATATGTTTCTGAAAACGCTTATGAAATTCTCACACACCTTTTGTATTACATGATTATATATACTAAATGTGCATGGTTATATAAACACAACATCCTTCTGTCTTGGCAAGTCATGTTCTGTTCTGAACTTCTCAAGCATTGCAAAAGCTGCAGCCAAAAGGATTCTTTCTATACCACCTGAGCATCAGAAGGGAATGATTGCAGCACCCAAGCCTAACAAGCTAAACAGAATTATTTCTTGCATTTTTCCAGTGCTTGATAATTAAAGGCTCAGATGGAGTGAAAGATTATAACAAACACATTCCACAAATTTAAGTCACCGGCAGTAGTTTATCTAGGCAAAAATCTCTTAATTTAAAATTACATATCTGGGGACCTCCCTATATGAAAAGTGTTGTACATACTCCTGAAAATGTTTTTTAATGGAAAATCGTCTTATTTTAGATCTCTAGCTCTCTAATGGTGTGCAGTTATTGGAATTTAAACTGATGTAGGAATTAATATTCTAGTACTGCAATGCAAACCAGTGTAATACGAGGTGACAATAGGGGAATGGGAGTAGAAAGACTCATTGGGCACGTCCACACATGCAGCCATCTGCACTTGCAGCAGCTCAAATAGAAACGGTGCAAATTTGAGCTGGGGATTTTTGCCTCTGTGCACAAGCCCAGACAAGCACTTTGGTGTGGGGTAAGTTGTGCTTGTCCCAGAACTGCAGCCAGGGGCAGCCAGAGCCTGGGGCCAGCACCTGTCTGGATGCGCATCATGGCTTTTTTTTTGATCATCACCAACAGAATTTATAGACAGCTCGGTACTTTAAAATTTGGATCTCACTATCTTGCATATGGTGTCTGGAATTTCTATTCTACTTACAAACAAGTACTGCATAGGCTTTGTTTAGTTATTTAAGTGCCTAAATCAATACTAATCAAATTAGTTTGTCATTGTTGATTAACAGAAGGAATAATTTTACAACACTTAGTTGTTATACTCAAAATAAGCTACTATATTTAAGATGGAAAGTAAATATAAAATTCCACTATTTGTACACGACAGTTTTCTAATTTAAAGAGTTAAAGCAGTAACAATCAAGGCTATGAAGGGCATTTTCATTCTTAGGACTTATTTTTATTATCCATTTTTAGATAAATTATTTATAATTGGAATTTTCAAAAGGAGTCTAAAAATCCAAAGTGCCTAATTTTCATTGAATTATACTGATTTGGATGCCTAATTCCTTTAGGCTCATTTGAAAAAAAAATTATGTATTTATTGATTTTAAGGCTAGATTATCTAGTCTGATATCCTGTATAGCCACCCAGTAATTTCTGTATCTGGCCCACTAACTTCTGGTTGAACTAAGTTAGAGGTGAAAAGATCTGGCCCATAAAGCCATATCATGCAGCCTGCAGGTGGGGCAAGCAGGAGTGGGGACTACCATTGAATTCCAGAATATAGAGCCCTGTTGGGTATGCGTGTGGGTGGTGGAGGGATAAGCAACAGGTGCATTTAATCCCTGCAGCAGTCAGTGCCACTGCTGCTTTCTCCACCACTGGAGGTTGGTCCAGTTCTGGCCTATGAGGCACATCGGGGTCCAGATCTAAATATTAATCTGGCCTGAACTAAAGCATCTCTTAACATACATTCTCTCTTGATTTAAAGACATCAAAGGATGGAGACTCCCTCCTCACAGTAAACTGTTCCAAAGGTCAATTAACCTCACTATTAAAATCCCTGCATATATTTGTAAAATATTCAAAATGTTAAAGTTAGAAAAATTATAATAGGTTTTATACTTTGACCTTTTGTGGAGCTCCCATACTATAATATGAGGCAAAGTGAACATGGAAAGAAACCCTCTCAAGTTACCACATATGAAAAAAATAGTTTATTTGTTTTTTTTTCCTTTTAGATGGTTTGTATTTAAAAAGTGTTAAAAATGATTTTACTGTTTATTATTTTTACTATTTATTCACTTTTTATATTTAATTCAACTTGAGCAATGAAAAAGCTAGTCAGTTTCACTTTTTGTGAATATATGTTTGCTTAATTATTTAAACTTTTACTATTATGTACAATGAGTTTAAAAATCAAACATGAAGAATCTAAATGCAACAGAAGTTTCAAAAAAGAAGATCAAGAACAGTTAAAAAGCCAGTTACACATTCAGGACCAGATCTATAAAAAAGGCTTAAGTTCCTACAGTGCAACCTAGGTGGGCTTTAAGTGCCTAAATTTAAAATTGCAACCCTAAAAGTGCTGGCTTAATTATCAACCAACCCTGAAGGCATATAACATCCGTAAGAACCTCCGTGATTGATCTGAAAATTCCCTCCAGGTCTAGGATTGTGTCTCTTTGCATATGCTTAGCCCAGACCAGTCTCAACAGGGTCTAGCATCTCAATACCTAGCTTGTGCCTAATACTTATCGCAATCCATAGTTATGTTCCCCTGTCTAAGTCTCCAAGGCTAAATCCCAATGGTGTTCTCAGAGTACACATAGCATGTAATTATAAGTCTGGACCTCCTACAAAATGCAATGACAACTGTCACTTTATTTTAAAAGAAGTTGATGCCAGCACTCCCTTTTTATACCATGCTGTTTGGTTAGAGCACTGTTGAGGATGAGGTAGACCCAGGTTCAATTAGCATATGTCAAGGAGTTTCACACCCACAGGATCTTTCTCTTGGGAGGAGGGAGATGATGCTTTGAATCCTCTCAGGCAGATGTCTCCAAGCACGTGGGAAACGCTTTAACCACCTTCATCACTACCACACATTTCAAATGAAAAAAGTGAGCGCTGCTCATTTTGAAAGAAAGAGGGCAGGAGCTATAGATTCTCCCAACCACATTTTGCTGCAAGGACTTAAAACTAGCCCGTCCGTAACATTTCCAATTAGCAAGTTCTAAACAACTGTACTTAACATACTGGCTTTAGGAAGCTCCCCATTCAATGGATCCTATTCTAAGGCACCTTTGTCTCTTCATGCACTATATGAAAGAACCAAGGCACCCAATACAGGGCTATGAACTGCACAGGTGTGTAAGGGTAAGTCTAGTCTGGTGCACACTAGCTCTGAAACAGAGAGCAGGATATCCCTGTTAGTACACTGCTGAACATCTAAATTTAAAGTGCTTGAGTACTTTTTTGGATCTGACCATCAGGCTTGTACAGGATTTTTTTCTTCTTTTTTTTTTTTTTTAAAGCAATAAATTTGACATAGCGGACTTTAAAGAACTAAAGCAATTATGCTAATTGCTAAGTTCCAAACAGCACTGGGGAGCCAATCTTGATCCCACTGGTATCAACAACAGAACTGCCACTGATTTCACTGAAAACATCAGTCTCTGGATACGAATTCCATCTCTTTAAAAACATTGCTTTCAGTAGACCAACAATACAGAGCTCTATTTTCCTATGGAAACAAAGATCCCATAATATATTCCATTGAATAACTATCTCCTACATGCTAAAAGAAATTCAACATGTAAAAGATGACATCTTTTACATTGATGATTTCAAAATACTTGACAGTTGCTTATAAAACAAATGGAATAAAAAGGAAAGAAAAGATTTCCCCTATGGCTGCTCAGACTTCATTTTAAAATAATGCACATCCACATTGTCATGGATATCTGCCTGTGTGGGGCAACTTGCAGAATTAGGATCCTAATGTGCACATTTTTGGTCTGTCTATATCCTAGCAAATCATTTAATTTTTATTAAGTGTGGCCCCAAACTGATCAGAGGATATTGGAATCTGCAGGTCACATTTTAGCACTGTGGTTGCAGTTATATCTGTGGTGGAATAAGTTTCATAATTATCAAGCACATCCACAAACAGTATAGCTCCCAGCTAAATTTTAGGGATACAGGGTTTGTACTGCCAGGAGGTAAATTTTATTTTTAAAAAAGAAAATATTTTTCATCCACTAGGTTTTACAATAATCTGCATGATTTGACCTTATTCACCACACTGGGTGCTTGTGCCATGTTCTCCTTTTGTTGGTATAAAACTCAACCAATTCAGATTTCTCTAATCACTGACGAACCTACTGTGTAAAAATCTGCTGGTATTGCATTTTATATCTTTGTGTAGTCATTTGCATGTGTGTAAGGCAATAAAGAAGAAGGCCTGAAGAGTCTCAGTTTGAAACAAAGCTTTACATTGATACACTGGCAAAATTTGGACACAACTGCAAAAATGTCAATTCAGTCTATACTACGATTTCAGACATAGTGGAGCTACACTAATGAACTCCTACAGATTCGGATTTTTCCAGTGCAGATAAGATTTGTGTGCAATATGACTTATTACTGTACACAGATGGATAAATTTGGTCTGATGCTTTCAATAGGTATAAAAAGTAGCTAAACTCCATCTCACAGAGGCTTGCCTCCATTTCATATGGCTAGGAATCAGAAATACACTCAAAGAAAGCTAGTTCCAAAACCATACAAAATAAAATGTTATTTTAGACAAATGCAGCATTAAGGGCATAATTCACCATTCACAACCACAAGGTACCTGGTCATAAAATCCGCACTTTCTATTTTTCTAGTCCTTTTGTATAACAGAATATTAGAAGTTCTCTGGAGAGCAGAATATTACATTGCTCAGGAACAGAAAAGAACAATATGGTTTTATACAGGTATTTTAGTTTTCAACTAAGCTAGATATAATTAAAATCTGTTACAAGATTAGCTCTTACCATTTAACCCTGGAAGATGGTGACAATCCCTGCAAGACTGCCCTTGTCTCTGGTTTCAAGTAACTCCATAACAGACTATAACAGTACAATTTTACACTAACTTTTCAGATTTAAAATAAGCTAGAGATAATTAGAAGCTGTTATAAGATTAGAACTTACCATTTAACATCAAAAGATTGTCAGTCCCTGGATGTGGATAATTCAAACGACCTTAAAAAAAACAAAAACCAAAAACCAGTAAGGTTTTAGCTATTACACTGGGAAAAAAAAAAAAAGAAGAGAAAATAGAGGGAGGTAGGAAGAAGGGGGGGACACCACCATTTAAAAGTGAAATGTGTAACATATTTCCCTTTTGCCTAGAGGGAATAAAGAACTAATATTTAACTGCAAACACATTACCCAACAATACCCTTGACCCAAGTTGAAGTTGACATGAGCAAACTTCTTAACCTTAATTCTCTTGTCATAAGATTTGCAATGTTCTTTGGGATCAGTGCCAATAGGATAAAGCCAGTTTTTGTTTCAAGCAGCCCGTTGCTTTAGTTTTCTTTTCAGACTAATTTTGATGCACATTGGTTACCAGAATCTAACTTGCTATTTGAAAAGTCTCCCAGAATCAGCGTGTCAAAACTCTGGTAAAAAGAGTGATTAAAGCAGTTAACTAACATGTAGTCCATTTATAAATACATTTTGTGACTTCAAATAAATCGCTGTATATCTCATCTCTCCCGCTAAGCCTGATAAAACAAAAATAAATTACATACTTATTTATGGAATTTTTATGAAACTTTACTATGCTAACATTCTGACAACTCTCTAGGAGATACCTATCAGCTAGTTTATGAATTAAAAAAGTGAAACTGTAAAATGAAATATGCAAAGAGTGATATATAAAACCCCAAGTCCTGATGCTAAATTACTAAAATACTGTATTTTAATATATTTGCAGTAAGTGAGGATTTTCTTTTAAACTGCATGTTTAAAAAGCATAGCAAAGGTCTGTTCATTCCAATTTCCTTTTTTATGAAAGGAGAAGTTTTCTGTTTACAGGAAGCTGCAAACATGATAGTACTGCAAACTGATCTAGACAGAAACTTACAATAGCAGCTCTGTTTCACTGGAACATGCCTTATGAAAAAACCCTACATATTCACATGCTTTATTAGAACATAGCTGGTTGCTAGTAATCCTTAAGTATACAATCAAAAATTATTTAAACTTGAATACATAAGTAAATATGTTGAAAACAGATTATTGCTAAATCATAACAAAATACCCAAACCTGGAGCCTTGAATTTGTGGAACTCATGCTGTTTTCAATGGGAATTTTGTGTGCACAGGGCTTTCAGAACAGGACGTAACTGTTTAAATATTATTAAAAGGTTTTGTGTATATCTAAGCTTTAACTAAAAACAACCCAAGCACCCAGAGAAGGCATGAAGTAGCAACCCTTATAGAAAGGATGCCTAACACTTTGCATTACAAGTTTTTCTCAAACAGTGCGTCTTTTGGGAAACCTGAATTCTGCCAGAATTGTCAGCAGGATATTGAAATTTGGCCAAAGAGATGGAAAATCTATTCAACTATGAGTTTACAATTTTTACTTTAAGACATAATAGTGAAAATAACATACCAAAATCTACCAAAAAGAGTTAACACACTGAAGTTAAGCTCTCAAAAAACAGGGAATGCCAGAATTAATGCTGTCCCAGCAATTTTAATTCCATAAGTTTCTTATATGTATTATGATAATTTTTAGTTACATACTATTTATTTTTACCATGGGTCTGTTTTCTCATTTATTCTACAGAATGGCTGGGACTCAGAGAATGAATCAAGATTAGTTAGGACCTTTGCCTTACTTGCTGTACAAACTTGAGGTGAGGAGAGAATGAGAAAGACTATAACAAGAAAATGGATGGTCTTATGATCAAGACAGCTGACTACCATACAAAAGATTACATCCTTGGCTTTTCACAAGACTCGTAAAAGCATGTTCTTCTTCATTTTTTGAGTGGTCAGTTTGGGGAAACAGAGTTCTAATTTTCAGTACTACTGAACATCTTTACTAGTCCAACTGAAGTCAGAAGGAAGCTGTGGATGGTGTACTGCCCCTCTTGCACTGTAAGACAGTGGGTGCATCTACATGTACACAGTACTGCAGCGTAGACTAATTAGTTCTGCAGTAAAGTGTCACCATCTGTACATGTGATGGTATTAGGGCACAGTAAACTAACTCTTTCATAAGATGGTACTGTTGGGGACAGTATTATCTTATGGCAGAGTAATTTACTGAGCTGAAATGCACATGTGGACACTGACTATCGTTGTAAATTGCGCCTGGTCAGCCCAGCCAGTTGGAAGCCTGCTTTGCCCCAGCTCAAATTGTTGCTGTCCCAGGCTCACATGTGGATACTATGCCTGGGAGCAGTTTCTTTTGGCTCAAATTGCGCTGGAGTTTACTGCATTACATTAATTGCATGTGCGGATACATCCAGTAGTTTTATATAGAAATGAGCACAGGATTGATAATCAGGCATCTCTAAAGTTAAAAGCCTAATCTTATATTTGTCACCAATTCACTTAGGACTTTTGGCAAGTAACTTTACTTTTTCTCTCAGTTTTCCAGACTGTAAAATGAAATACTAAAATTACTTCATCAGTTTCATAGGGTCCTTATTATAATGCTTTTATAGTGCTTTGAGAATGCAACATAAATGCTAAAGGCAGCAAATCATAGTTGGATTTCAACTTGGGCACTCAAAATCAGAAAAGACTTTTGTAAACTAATGGGTAAGGGACTGACCTCTTAAGCCAGGGACTGTGGGTTCATGTCCTACCTGGGGTGAAATATATATGTGTGTGTGATAGGTAGGATTTTTTTAGGCTAGATATCAGGAGGCGCTACTTCATAGTCAGGGCGGCTAGGATCTGGAACCAACTTCCAAGAGAAGTGGTGCTGGCTCCTACCCTCAGGTTCTTTAAGAGTAGGTTAGATGTACACCTTGCTGGGGTCATTTGACCCCAGTACTCTTTCCTGCCATAGCAGGGGGTCGGACTAGATGATCTACTCAGGTCCCTTCAGACCCTAGAAACTATGAAAACTATGAAACTTTCTCTTGAACTTGTGCCTCGGTGACATCTCTCAGAGTAGTTGTGAAACTAATTAACTGAATGTCTGTGAAACATACAGATATTACAGAGAAATCCTACAAATCCCATAGTTAGTGTAGGCTTTGGATAATGTTGGACTGAATGAGGATAAAGACAGCTAACAAACAGCTGTCACCACTACTGGACCCCATTCATCTTGTGCATTATTTCTGTATGAGAAATTTTAATTTCTGTATTTCTTACCTTTTGAATATTGTAGACCTTTTGAATATTTATTTGAAAAAGAGCATTTTTGGCAGATGTTCTGTCTCTATATTTTCATAATTCAAGAAGCTTCTACAGGCTCTGATCCTGGAGGTTCCTCCACACAGACAACATGTGCGATTACATGTGAATGCAGAGTTCTTCCCAGAAGGAAGTTGCAAGATCACAAGTTCTCTGATTTTGCTTTACCCTTTCTTATACAAGCATATAAATGTTAAGTTTGCATGATCAAGCATGCAAATGTCAAGAAATAATGTTTAAAATGACACTGTCAGTTTGAAATAAAATAAGAAGTTAAAGAAGTCAGGTGTGTCCCTGTCAGCTTATGGTTTTTACAATTACATTTTCTTAGTTTTAAAAGGACCTATGGTACATAAAAACCCACAGAAATAAAAGGAGACACTGAGTTTCTAGAGAAAAATTCTGAACCTAGCTGAAGTTCTGCCATGTATTCAAAAGAAAATATTTAAAAGATCTCTTTTGAGTATGTAATCTTAGGTGTCAGTTGTGACAACAGCAAAAGCAATCAAATAGAAGCATGATTAGGAAGCTGACAATTGATTTATCTGCAGGTATTTGCACCGCACGAAATTCAAAGCTGTAAATTTCTTTAAACCAGTAAGTACGTGCTCACATATAAATATCTACTCACATATAAATGTAAGGTGTAAAAAGAACACAAGGAATTTCCGCATAGGGCCTATACTGAACCATGCCCTTTGAAGTAATACAGTAACTGTACATTAATGTTGTGTTCAAAACATTAGCTTCCTCTGTAGCTACCCATGTTTTGACTGGTTTCATATGTAACAATGGTTCCGTTACATTTACTTCCCCATCTCCACTTCTACATCCAATTACTGTGAAAACTGTTTGTGATACATTAAAAAAAATTGTAAAATCTTAAATTCATGTGCAAGACCTTCTCTTGTATATCCACCAAACTTGGTAAGATAACAAGGGGTATCTTAATTAAGATATAACTAACAAGTAGCACAGCTAGATTTATTCACGTGTCCTTAAAAGATTCTAGTTTACATGACCCAAACAAGCGAAGTTCCTGCATAAACCTTTTCCTGGGAAAACTTAGTTGTAGCTATGTTCATTCGTTCATTTTTTTTTTATTTAGAGAAAGGTTTGTGTATTTAGGCTTGGTTTTGCGTATTCTGTGTTCCAATGTAAATAAACTGGTATGAGGAACCCCCAAATATGGAAACATTTAAATAAGTATAAGCAAAATTTAAAGGGGTCTTGGTAATGCCAAGTCACGCTTTCAGCATAACATTTGAAATATTACATGTTCTTCTTAAAACCTAGCTATTGGAATCAAGAGACTACATGAGATTTCCAGTCTGTTTTATTGTATGCTTTTTTATATTTAATAAAATCAAGTATTTAGCCCTTCTGGTTTGGCAAGAAGCTTGAAAAAGTGAGGTGAGTTTATCCTTATAGTTCAGAAACCAGAAAGGGAACAACCTGTCTACAGTCATCACTTCTAAAAATAAATGCCATGAAAATAACCTAATAAGTTTTGGAGCACTGCTAAGAATTGATAAACAGTATGACTTAATAAATTGATTAATAACTGAAGTTATCACACACCAGTTTAAATTTTACCAATTTAAAATATGGCATTCGTCGGATGATTTGTGCCGATTTCAAAACCACTTTAGTTAAGGCAATGCATAAACTACATACTGATAATACCTCAGTAACAAAGAGCAGTATACACAGATCTATTCCATATAAATATTATATGTTTAATTACTTGTGTAATTAGTTGTATTAAGACAGTCTATAAAGTGTCTGGTCTAAGATTTTATATTAAGATTGTTTATGCATGCTAACTACTTTTACATAAAAAGTCTATTTTTGCCTCTCAGTGAAAAACATAGGCAGGTTTTTATGGAAGAGAAAAATGCTCAAAACAGTAAAAATGTAATAACTCCTTTGTCTTTTCTACACTATTTTAAAGAATTTTTATCAGAGATTTAATATGCTCTATAAGTTGGAACTGCACCTGTATAAACATGCTAGCTTTTATTTAACATGTATTAATTTAATTAACTGGCAAATTAAATCTACAGTTCTGTAAATGAAATAAAAGTTAATATCAGTAAAACCTGACCCTTCTTAAATAGACTTTTAAACACAGCTATAAGGATCAATGCTGTAAACTGGTACGTACAAAATATGCTCTGCATTCCAAAAAGCCCAAGACAAGATGCTTAGTCATACTCCAGACACTGTAAGCAGCTAAATCTGAAACACGTGCTTAAAATTCCAAGGACTTTCATTTTACTGCTGCAGTACTACATAAAAGACACATTGTATTAATGTGCTTTAATTTACTGTTAAAAATCTGCAACTCCCCCCACCAAGCTTCAGTTATAATAGATCTTTCATTTACTACTAGATTGAATTAAGCCCAGACAATCTAAAAATATGTAAATAAATTGTTTTAAAATATTGTTATATGCAGTATGCTGAAAAAGCCTGACTACTGGAGATCATAGTTTTTGTTAGCTCAGGCTCCAATATATGGTTTATAACCTATTGTAAGCCATCAAAGGAATATGGAAGCTGACAGGAAATTGGAGAAAAGAAAATGACTGTTTAACAAGTAGTAAAAAAAAAAAGAAGGAGAGAAAATTATTTCAGAAGCTCTTCTTATGTGTCTGAGTTTTTTTTAGATTTTTCTAGTATGAATATCAGTAAAAACCAACTTTTCCAGAAAAATCTTCTATGTTGAATATTTTCTAAAGAGACATAATATCTTAATAAAGATGCTTACTTACCACAGCTCTGCCCACCCACTACATTTTAAATTCAGCTGTTGTGTGTCAGTTATTCTTTGGCTTTCATAGGCTTTTTCCCCCCCTTTTAATCCATCCTCATATTTAAGGCTTTCAGAAAGCATGGCCAGGGACCCTTTTTCTATTTTAGAAAAATAGTTCTTATATTATGACATTTTCATAAAAAAATTAAGAAGGCCAAAATTTTAAAATCTAGTGTCTAAAGTTAAGATCTAGAACTATATTCGGGCACCTAAGGGTGCAATTAATTAATCCAGTGCTTATTGAGTTTGAATGTGCGCCCAGCACTGCAGCACGTTGAGCCAGGTCAGAGGAACCCCAGCTGGCAGGGGGTCTGGGGGGTCAACCTAGCAGCCTGGGGCTGCTCCAACCCTGCTCAATGTGCTGTGGAGAAGCTGACTAGGGCATGTGTGCGCTCCAGTGCGAGGCTAGCTGGTAGGCAGTCCCTGCACTGAAGCACCCTCATACCCTAGCTAGCTAGGTCAGCGTCTACATGGACATTGCTGAGGAATAAAGACTCCGAAGCAGGGTAGCACTTGTAAGTACTTACAAGTACTACCCTGCTGCAGAGTTTTAGTTTACTTCCGCCTAATAGCCTTGCATGTGTAGATACTGAGATATTTACTGCAGAGCTAATTTAGTCTACTCCAGTAAATGTCTTGTGTAGATGCACCTAAGTGCCCTAAGCACAAAATACCCAGACCTCCAAAAGAGATTTTCAAAAGTATCTAAAAAGAAAACACTTAACTTTTGGCATCCAGTTTTTAAAATGTTATCTTTAATATTATTTCTGTTTAAAAGTTATTAGATCTTGCGATCTCCTTTACTGCATAACACTGAGGGGTGCTTGTATGTATGCTTTATGTCTCAATAGCATGACTCAGTAGGCTGAAGAATAGTCACGACTGGCATTTTCTCTAATGGGACCTGCGTCTCTGCCACTTCATCTTTATGATGAAGCACAATGAAGAGGATAAGAGAGTCAAGGAGAAGGGGAAACAATAGGAAAACAACCATTTCCTAAAATAAGTTTATTCCGTGTAACAGTGCTGTAGGTCTTGTGTTAAAGAATCTGAATGGGTTTAGGAATTAAGGAACACAAATTATGATATAACACAATAGAAAACTAAATCACCACCCTGTTCATGTTGGGCAGAGGCTTTACCTCCTCCCTAGTCATTGATGGGCATCTCTTGTTACTCATTTTAGTGAGATAACACTTGCATGCCACAGCTGTAATTACTTTAAAGAAGGGACAAAATTAAATGATTTAATACAACCAACTCTAGGACTATGTTGTTAGACTAATTCTTTATAGCACCACAAGGCCACTATCCGGGCTGTCTAACTTCTCAGCAGCTGGGAGCCGCACCCACATGGGGCAGAGGCCCTCCTCCACCCGTCCCATGGGGCTGCACAATGCTGCGTCCAGGTGGTCTCCCCTGTGCCCTTCTGCTAAATGGTCTCCCTGTGCTCCCTTTGGGGCATGCCCTCCCCTACTGTTGTTACCCCCAGCTGTGTGGGTTTCCCTGAAACCCCACTGCATGATCTTCCCCATGCTCTCTGACCATGCGAGCCACACAGAAAGTATGAAAGCTGCTTCACAGACTTCCCTGTCCTCAGGGGCCACTTGGATCTCAAAGGCCCAAGCTGCCTGGGACTTGCTGCCCTACCCAGAGGGGCAGGGATAGGAAGCACAAGCCAAAGGAGGGAGAGGAAGCCCAAACACTATGGTGGCAGTGGGGTCCCCCAAGGTTCTGTCCTTGGACCCATATGGTTCAACATCTTCATTAATGATGTGGACATTGGAGTCAGAAGCGGACTGGCAAAGTTTGCCGATGACACCAAACTTTGGGACAAAGCATCCACACCAGAAGACAGGCGGGTGATCCAGGCTGACCTGGATAGGCTCAGCAAATGGGCAGACAAGAACCTGATGGTGTTTAACACTGAAAAATGCAAGGTTCTCCACCTTGGGAGGAAAAACCTGCAG